ATAATACTAACGAAGACACTACACTTCGGAATCGATAATGCGTGATTAGTCAGTCAGGCGCTACCAACTAGCGACGTCACCAAACTCCTTGTGTTACTTTTCGCGTGCCCTTTTTTCGTTTGATCGTCCGGTATAAAACATTTGTGATGCATTTGGATCCTAGTTTTAATAATCTGATAACCTGTTTGATGTTCTTACGTTTTATTTAGGATTAATAAATTCTAATAATTCACCGAAATATACAAGGTATAACGAGCAATTATTTATTATGACATCGTCACAATGCCAGGATGCAATTTTTTGTCATATTTTTAATAATTTTTTAATTTAAAATATATGCTCTCCATCTTATATTAGTAGTGTCTTATCCCTTTACGTCATGCTTTTCCTGTTCGCATTAGTGTCATGTCGGTTATCTATCTAACTCCTTTCGGGGGAAAATTTTGAATTGAAATAACGTGACTTTCGGTGAAAACTGGAAGTTCGTACATAGTTAATTGTGGCCTTTTGCCTCTAATATTTTCATATCTGGTCTCGGCTTTTATCTATCTAATTTTGTTCTTGAGATTAAGGAACGACGGACAGGCAGATAGCTACATCATATTTTTTCACCTTTAATTTTATAAATCATGAAAATTAATTAACATTAAAATGATTGCTAAAATTCTTTTCATAATTGAAAACAAAATTGACACGATGATTTAAGTGAAATGCTATAAAATTACTTTATGAGAATAACTACAGTATTTTTTATTTCGTTTTAAGATTTATGACTCGTATAATCTCGTATATTATTAAATAACTTTCAACAATAATTAAAGCTACCGATTTTTACAGTAGGGAAATTCCAAATTCTGATAAATAGAGAAATCCACACATCTTTTAAAATGCGGTATATTCAGTACTGTATAAATTTATGGAAAAATGTATATTAAGAAAATCAAATCAAACTCCTACACTTATTTTCTTGAAGTAATGTAAAATACTCAAGCTATTAGATTAAGTCGGAATATATACATTTGGAAACGAGAAAATAACTAGATTTTTCGAATTTTTCTGTATTAAACTTATAAATATTAAAGATGCAATAAATTTGATTTTGCACGAGACTAGCACGAACATCTGCATCGGCGTCTTTGTCCATCATCTAGCGGCTGGTGGAAACCTCGCTACAGAATCCTATATCTTCCCATATCATTGGCAGGCGATTAGCAGAAGCAAATTTGCATGCACAGCGATGGCTACGCGTTTTGCTGCTAGAGTCCCAACATCGCCGTTTGCAGTTGTGCAGCAACAGAGAAGCCTGGATTATTTCGAATTGGCAACGTATCGTCTATAGCGACGAATCCTGGTTCTGTTCGCGAACGAATGACCACCATTTAGTGTGGAGAACTATTGATGAGTGTCTTTACCGTTAAGCGGCACATTGTCTCCATTGCTGGCGTGCTGGTCTGAAAATCGTATGACACGATTATTCCTAATAATGGTACGAGGGACTTTGAGGCACAACGGTATGTTTAGGAAACTTTGCATTCTTGTGCACTGCCTTTCATGGCAGGCTGCAAAAGGTCATTTTCCGGCAAGTTAATACTCGACCACCTACAGGTAGTGTTTCCCAAGAATGTCTTTGTCACGTTGCCACACATTCTCGGCCTCCATGTTTGTTGTCCATTGAGCATTTATGAACCGAATGGGACGCCATCTTTGGCTATCTACGAGTGTAAGCAATCCAGAGCGGCAGTTGCATCTATATGCAAACCTGTCGAAGGATAAAATACGGTATCTGTATGTTTCCATGCCTGATTGTATCGCTGCGTATATCCAAGCAGGAGGAAGGAGACCTATAAGGTACGAAGATTGCTTTAAAATTATACCTTTGTTCCACAAGAAATCGTCCTTTGCTATGATATTGTAATCACTTATTATCATTGTCGTAAAGTACGTTCGCACTAATAAAGTTTCATTCGATTTCGGCACTTCCTTCTTGGCGTATAACTTTTTGTCAATAAGTGTAATAATTTAATATTATAACGAAAATAATTTTTAATGTTGCATGCTTATTATATCTTCTTGCTAATAATTCAGGCAAATGATTGTTGAAATGAATAGATCTATTTATGTAGGCCTATCAAAAGGAAACCGAATTATTTTTCTTAATATAAAAATCATTGGGAAGAATGTGTATTGTATTTTAATTTTATTTTATAGTAATTTATGTCTTGGTAAATAATTTTGGTACTTTTAATATTTTAATAAATGTTAAAATCTAAACATTTCATTGCTCAAGCTTTGTATACATTATACATACAAAGAGTTAATCTTAGTAGACCTAACTGAATTAAATATTACTATAGTTATATTGATCTATGAAAAACACCAAGGAAAAGAAATTTTATTAAATCTTCATTTTAAAATAACTTCAGCACTTTACTTTTATTGATAGATACAGGATTAAGTTGACTATAAAATATTGTATTTGTATATGTGAATAATTTTATACTGATCATTTTCAAATTTGTTAAAATTTTAAAAGTCATAAAAGCAAATGTTATTTTTGTTATTCTTTATTACATCTTTTTATGAATAAAATAAAATCGGTTAAAATTTTCTATTTCCACTTTCTCAATTTTATTGAGTGAAATAAATTTACCTCATATATTAATTCGTGATGAAAATGGGGAACTTCTAATTCTTGTACACATCTTTCAGCTTCTAAAACGTCTCCCGAACACAAATATTCTTTTAACAGTAATCTAATCTGAAATACATTTTCTTATTTACTTTGTTATAAAATTTATTCAATCAATTAAATTGTTTTTTTAAAATAACAAAACAACTAAATCAAGAAGCAGTTTTAAAACTTATATTTTAACTATTTTATAAATGGATTAGATNTATATATATATATATAAGGTCCTTAGCCTTAATTTATTTAATGCTTTATATAATCTAATATAACTCAATATTAGTCTATTTGATATTTTAGTCTGCCCTAAATTTTGGAAAATTCGATAATTCCGAATTTCCACGTTCTTTAGACAATAACTAAGTTTAATAAAACAATTATTTATAAAAATTCTGATTGATCATTTGAATTAAAAGATATTTAATGCTTAATTTTAATGTATATAATCCATTTATTTTTTCATCTTTCCATATATTTAATGCACGTGCAATCGTATCTTCGATCTGATTGAGTCACCGCAGCTTATAGGGTCTCGATTTACTAATTTAACTCTATCGATAACATTCAATTGAATATTTTATTCGCTTCGAACAGATATGTAATAGCAACAGGAATATTGACTCACGTCGTGTATCGGGGGAAAAGGGGAGTGACAATGAGTCACCTCTTTCGTTCAATGACGTCATAACGTTACCCAGCAAACTGTAAACAGTTGCTTTAAAAGCAGCATTGATTGTTCGTGCGAATAAAGAACCCACTTCCTGGAAGACATAAACTTAACAGTTCAAGTACACCCACAATAAACTAAAATTTCTTTCTCTAATCGCCATGACGTCTTCCGATAGGAATTCGCTTCAATTCATCTAAAAACTGTGCTTTTTGCATAATTTGAGGCCAAATTTGTTATTTATCACCGCGGCTTCTAGAGCGCGAACGACATTGTTACAATTTAACTAATGGCCCTTTTAATACACATTCGGAAGTGGCCACGTATTTTCCTATCCCTGGCAATTTTCTTGTTTTTCCGAGACGTCGACAGAGGGCAGAATTGTCGGTTATGCATCTTAAATTTCAACTTTTATGAGGTCAGTCTCCAGCGTGACAGATCCCCCCTCTTATTTTTTAATTGACTTCTTTATGGAAGTGAATAACTTTAGGTGAATGATGTCTCCAACCCAAGAAATTTATGAAATTACACATTTTCTACTGTCATAATTATTTTTTTTATGCTACTTACAATGCACTTTGTTTTTTAATGTATAGATTTATGGTTTCACTCAATGCCTATGGCTTTATAGTGACGTAACTATTTTATGAGATATTAATAAGCAATTTGTGATTAAATAATTAAAAAATATAAGTAGTTTTCATATATACATATTTTTTTTCCACGTGACGTATTTGTTTATCTTTTATGTTTCAATTTTTAAAAAAAATATTTTATCAATTAAAATCATAGTTACACATCTTGTTTTTATTAATAATAACAATAACAGACTGTCACTCTGAGAAAATCCTTGACCTTAATGCAATACTGTATTAAAAATAAGAAAAAAATGCCATTACGATAACATTTGTTTAAATATTACAGATAAGTTAAGGCATTTTATGGGGGTAATAACACTTTTTGTATATTAATCTGACAATTTTTGAGATTTTATAATTGATATTTTAAGAAAATGACTGCATAAAAACTAAGTAACTAGTTCTTTTTTTTAGTTTTATTTTAAAATTCGTAGAAAAATCTTCGAATAAATCTCTATCCATACTTGTGCATCTTTCAAGGAATTTCATATTAAAATTTCATCCATCAATATGATGAACGATACGTTCTTTAATGTTTTGAACAGTTCGAATTTATTCACCTGTTCAAAGATAATTGCAGTGCGGAATATTTGAAATTCCATTTGTTATAAATAATTTTTTGTTATAAATTATTTGTTAGAATATTTAGATCTACCCAGTACTGTTTATATATTTATTTATCTGAGCCACATATTTATCGAAGTGATAATGAAAGATACACAACTAATACGCCATAAATTTCAATACTACGTCGCATCGAATGATAGTGTTAATGAGAAAACATCCTGAAAAATAAAGTGGACAGGAAATCCAGTGTAGAAGCGATCGATTTAGTTCTAATTACCGGCTGTCAGCAGCAGCCTGTGAAGCCTGATTACTTTAATATAACACCTACTAAATGTGTCCAAACAACTTAAGGAATTGTTATTTAAAAATATTTTATTGTACTAGAAAATAATTCGAGTGAAAATTAATTTTAAAAAATAATAATAACACTAATATTTGAGTAGTCAAAACAATTTTTATTCGAGTTGCGATAGATGTATTTACAATTTTCATTCCAGAACGAAGAATAAATATCAAAGTAACGACATTCTCTTCGTATTCTATAATCGCTTTCTCTCTCGTTTTAAGTCATTTTCAGAGATTTCTTTTTAAAAATATATTAAGAAAAATAAATTATTAGTTTTGGCCACGATTTTTTTTCTTCTTATTTTTATTCTGGAGAAAGTACTCACCTGACTGGTCTAGGCATTTCTTTCATTAAGTATTCTGGCAGAATTCCATTTTTATAACACCTCATCACGATTTTTTCCAGAGAAATATAAGCGTGAGGGACGTCGATCCTAATATCATCCATCTCTTTATAAACGCGTTCAAAACCCTAAAAACGCATTTAACAATATTAATATAGTGTATTTAAACAGCCCATCAGTTAATCTAAATATTAAGTTTATAGAGTCGTTGTGAAATTTTTTCAACGACTTGTGCGGGGGTAATTACCCTACGGGATCTATACCTTTCATGCTAGCATGATAATCGATAATTTGCAAATGACTTATAATCAATAATATCTGCAAGAGTTGACTGTTTCCTATCTAAATTGATGGAAAAAATTTTTGTATTCACCGTATACTTACTTGTTTCAACTGATATGGACTAACAATGGCGCCGGTTGCTAATGACTGGATGAGTTTGTGAAGTAGTTCCATTGTTCTTTCTTCAGCATCTTCGATCATCATTACAACAGCCTAATAAATAAATCGAGAATTAAAAAAGTAATAATGACAATCTATATTTATTTTTATATCTATATAATATTTTAAAAAATACATCAGACTACATTATGTGATAGTGAATTAAGAGAATAGGTAGACAAGCATTTATTACCACAAATTATCAAATGACAAAAATTCGAACTAGAAACTATTAAAAAAAAATATATAAATATATAAAAATTATAGTATTCAAGATATCATTTTAAATTATTATTATTACAGTATTATTATTTAAAAATATTTTTGCAAATTCTTGCACTTAAAAAGTTCATACAATAAGTAAGATATAAATTGCAATTACATGCTAAAATTTAAAATATATATTAATTAAAAAATTCGATTAATTTTAAAACTTTTCATATGTTCATTAACAAGTATAAATATGTGAAAAAAAACGATATTTAAAAAATTAAGTCATGTACATGTTCCTTACCAGATGGCGCCACAACAAACACCAGCATTTTCATTAATTTAATTAATTAAAATAAAATTATAGAAAATTTGCTTTTTTTATATATTACAGAATATATTCGTTAAATAGATTTTATTTCATTATTTTTAGAAATAATTATTCCATTTACTGCACCAAAACATGTCTGCATTGTAACAATCTTTCAAACTATTCCTCCTACAGAAACTTTCCATACACTGGAATTCCTTTAAGACATCTAAAACATAATAAATATCTAACCATTGCAATATATACAGTGTGTATGAAGTGTATGAGTTTTAAAGTCAGTTAACAGTCTAAATTACACGAATAAGCTTTCAAAAGGTTTCTAAAAAGTTATAATTTAATTTGTTAGAGCTTTCTGTTGAGCAAGAAAGACCTCGACTTGAGCAATGTTTGCAAAATTTATAATCACTAAAGTATTTCAGTCTGAAAGCAATTAACTATTTACAGCGGTTTAACTGACTTTTGGGCCACAGTAAGATTTGGTTAATTAATTTATTTAACGTATGAAATTTATTGGGTTGCAATTTGAAAAAATTGTATACCTATAAATTCCCACTGCCTGTCTGTCCTTCTTTAATCTCGAGAACGGAGTTAGATACATGAAATTCGAGATCACATATGGAAATATTCGGACAGAAGGCTTAGGAAATAGGGAAATATGAAAAGGATAGAAGGAAATATGGAAATATTCGAAACCCTAAGCATTGACAGAAGGTCAGTGCTTAGGGTCCCGGAAGGTTTTAACCCGCACTGACAAACTCATTATAATATTTAAATATATCTCATTACTGAATTTAGCCAACTATTTTTAAATTATTTTCTGATAAATATAGATAAATATATAGGCCTATATAAACTGTCGCTATACTACATAACTGAATCGTTTCATAAGAAGATTAAAATTCATTTATATAATATTATTTTCTAGAAGTGTAATTATTTTTGAAGTTAAGTTATGAAATCAGAAAATAAATATAAATTTTAAAATCTTAATCACAAATTCAAATATTAAACAAAGTTATCTATTATGTAGGAGTGAAATTGCAAAGATAAATAAATTTTTTTTAAAAGATTTCTATTAAAAAGTTTTTTGTAATTAAATTGCAGTAAATTTATAGACGAAAAATTGAAAATAAGATATAAAATTATTATAATAAGTTTATAAATATGCAGTGAAAAACTTATTAATTACTTTTCGCATGTGTGAGTTTAAATTTTTTTACTGAAACAAAAACTTTCTTTAGAAAAAAAACGTGTGTCAAGTGTAGAAAAGTGTTCATTAAAATTTAAACAATGAAATAATTAAAAGAGATTTTCTTAAGCATTGAAAAAATATATAATTTTTTAACACGAAAGTTTATTTTATATTTTGAAGTCCATTCCATGTCCAACATGTTAAATTTAAATTGTATTAAATTTAAAAATTTTTAAAAATTAGCTAGCTACAACTAACATGAGGTCAATAAAACGTTTTAATTTTCTTGACATTAATATCAAATTTAACAAAATTAAAGTAATTTATACACATAGGTAGCCTAAACGTGTGTGTGTATAGGTAAGTCACGTGCGAGACAGTAACTACACCTGCGATCTTTATTATGAAACGCTCCATATTAAACTGTTTTGTTTTCGTCAGCGTTGCTAAATAGTTTACGACAAGCTTATTACGACAAATACTGAGTGATAAAATAAATATTATACTATACTGATATTAAACTGAGTGATGAAATAACAACAGTACTCATGAGAAATAATGCGAAGAATTTGGCAATGTTACAAATTAGACTTGGTGATGTCGTGGGCCAAACTACTCTTCTCGAAATAATTAAATACTGAAGGTTTATTTACTAAAGATAATACAAGTAGAAATAAATAAATAAAATAGAATGTTCATTATTATAAGACTGAAATTTGATTTTTCTCCCTAACTGTATGAACGGAATTTCAAGAAACGTGCTTAAGACGACAGTTTATACGAAAATATCCCGAATCATTTGAGCCTAAAAAGAATAATGTCTGGAAACTTTTTAATAAATAGCAGTCACGGTATCTGTGTTTAGCAAGAAATAGCAGTCATAACCAAAAAGTTATCTAAAGAATGAGCCGAGATATTTGGGCGCAAGCAGAAGAGAGTCCCAAGAAGTTTTTTAATTTTTTGGTAACTTCTTTATTACGTAACTTTATACTATAGAAAAAATATCTGTTTTATAGAGTAAATCATTTCCAATTATCGAGAAGCTTAATTTAAATAATACTAACGAAGACACTACACTTCGGAATCGATAATGCGTGATTAGTCAGTCAGGCGCTACCAACTAGCGACGTCACCAAACTCCTTGTGTTACTTTTCGCGTGCCCTTTTTTCGTTTGATCGTCCGGTATAAAACATTTGTGATGCATTTGGATCCTAGTTTTAATAATCTGATAACCTGTTTGATGTTCTTACGTTTTATTTAGGATTAATAAATTCTAATAATTCACCGAAATATACAAGGTATAACGAGCAATTATTTATTATGACATCGTCACAATGCCAGGATGCAATTTTTTGTCATATTTTTAATAATTTTTTAATTTAAAATATATGCTCTCCATCTTATATTAGTAGTGTCTTATCCCTTTACGTCATGCTTTTCCTGTTCGCATTAGTGTCATGTCGGTTATCTATCTAACTCCTTTCGGGGGAAAATTTTGAATTGAAATAACGTGACTTTCGGTGAAAACTGGAAGTTCGTACATAGTTAATTGTGGCCTTTTGCCTCTAATATTTTCATATCTGGTCTCGGCTTTTATCTATCTAATTTTGTTCTTGAGATTAAGGAACGACGGACAGGCAGATAGCTACATCATATTTTTTCACCTTTAATTTTATAAATCATGAAAATTAATTAACATTAAAATGATTGCTAAAATTCTTTTCATAATTGAAAACAAAATTGACACGATGATTTAAGTGAAATGCTATAAAATTACTTTATGAGAATAACTACAGTATTTTTTATTTCGTTTTAAGATTTATGACTCGTATAATCTCGTATATTATTAAATAACTTTCAACAATAATTAAAGCTACCGATTTTTACAGTAGGGAAATTCCAAATTCTGATAAATAGAGAAATCCACACATCTTTTAAAATGCGGTATATTCAGTACTGTATAAATTTATGGAAAAATGTATATTAAGAAAATCAAATCAAACTCCTACACTTATTTTCTTGAAGTAATGTAAAATACTCAAGCTATTAGATTAAGTCGGAATATATACATTTGGAAACGAGAAAATAACTAGATTTTTCGAATTTTTCTGTATTAAACTTATAAATATTAAAGATGCAATAAATTTGATTTTGCACGAGACTAGCACGAACATCTGCATCGGCGTCTTTGTCCATCATCTAGCGGCTGGTGGAAACCTCGCTACAGAATCCTATATCTTCCCATATCATTGGCAGGCGATTAGCAGAAGCAAATTTGCATGCACAGCGATGGCTACGCGTTTTGCTGCTAGAGTCCCAACATCGCCGTTTGCAGTTGTGCAGCAACAGAGAAGCCTGGATTATTTCGAATTGGCAACGTATCGTCTATAGCGACGAATCCTGGTTCTGTTCGCGAACGAATGACCACCATTTAGTGTGGAGAACTATTGATGAGTGTCTTTACCGTTAAGCGGCACATTGTCTCCATTGCTGGCGTGCTGGTCTGAAAATCGTATGACACGATTATTCCTAATAATGGTACGAGGGACTTTGAGGCACAACGGTATGTTTAGGAAACTTTGCATTCTTGTGCACTGCCTTTCATGGCAGGCTGCAAAAGGTCATTTTCCGGCAAGTTAATACTCGACCACCTACAGGTAGTGTTTCCCAAGAATGTCTTTGTCACGTTGCCACACATTCTCGGCCTCCATGTTTGTTGTCCATTGAGCATTTATGAACCGAATGGGACGCCATCTTTGGCTATCTACGAGTGTAAGCAATCCAGAGCGGCAGTTGCATCTATATGCAAACCTGTCGAAGGATAAAATACGGTATCTGTATGTTTCCATGCCTGATTGTATCGCTGCGTATATCCAAGCAGGAGGAAGGAGACCTATAAGGTACGAAGATTGCTTTAAAATTATACCTTTGTTCCACAAGAAATCGTCCTTTGCTATGATATTGTAATCACTTATTATCATTGTCGTAAAGTACGTTCGCACTAATAAAGTTTCATTCGATTTCGGCACTTCCTTCTTGGCGTATAACTTTTTGTCAATAAGTGTAATAATTTAATATTATAACGAAAATAATTTTTAATGTTGCATGCTTATTATATCTTCTTGCTAATAATTCAGGCAAATGATTGTTGAAATGAATAGATCTATTTATGTAGGCCTATCAAAAGGAAACCGAATTATTTTTCTTAATATAAAAATCATTGGGAAGAATGTGTATTGTATTTTAATTTTATTTTATAGTAATTTATGTCTTGGTAAATAATTTTGGTACTTTTATTTTAATAAATGTTAAAATCTAAACATTTCATTGCTCAAGCTTTGTATACATTATACATACAAAGAGTTAATCTTAGTAGACCTAACTGAATTAAATATTACTATAGTTATATTGATCTATGAAAAACACCAAGGAAAAGAAATTTTATTAAATCTTCATTTTAAAATAACTTCAGCACTTTACTTTTATTGATAGATACAGGATTAAGTTGACTATAAAATATTGTATTTGTATATGTGAATAATTTTATACTGATCATTTTCAAATTTGTTAAAATTTTAAAAGTCATAAAAGCAAATGTTATTTTTGTTATTCTTTATTACATCTTTTTATGAATAAAATAAAATCGGTTAAAATTTTCTATTTCCACTTTCTCAATTTTATTGAGTGAAATAAATTTACCTCATATATTAATTCGTGATGAAAATGGGGAACTTCTAATTCTTGTACACATCTTTCAGCTTCTAAAACGTCTCCCGAACACAAATATTCTTTTAACAGTAATCTAATCTGAAATACATTTTCTTATTTACTTTGTTATAAAATTTATTCAATCAATTAAATTGTTTTTTTAAAATAACAAAACAACTAAATCAAGAAGCAGTTTTAAAACTTATATTTTAACTATTTTATAAATGGATTAGATATATTATTTTATTTTTATATAAAAATTCAAAAGTATCTTTTCCAGTACCCCTCTAAAATCTTTTTTATGCATCTCTGAAGACATAAAATATTTTAATAAATGGTTTATTAATTAAATTTCGTATATAATTAGAAATATATTCAATACATTTTTTTAAAATTCGGATTTATTTAAAACGTTTCAATCTCAGTTTTTAATTATAGGTTGAGAACTTCGTCTATTGAAGATTAAGATTTAAGACAAAGACATTAAATAAATTCAATTATCAGCTGGTTATATCTATCTGTTCTTTAACATTTTCTAAAATGTCGGTAGAAATATTTAAATATTTGAATATCTAAAATATAAAAAAATATTAAACTATTTTAAATCTTAATAATTAATTTTATTTAATAGATAATTCAATTTTTTAAAAAATTGTATTGGAATTAATAACATAACTAATATAATTTACATTTCAATGATGTTAAATAAAACAATTTTGATGGAATAAATTTATATGAAGACATTTTAAGGGAAAGTATTTTTTTTAATTCTTATTTAACTATTTATATAAATGACTATACTCTAATTTCTTGCATTTTTCTGTATGATTCATCACTATTTTTCTCCATACCTTGACCCAATTTGTCATAAATGACATGGATTTTTTTTTCTTTGTAGAATTACTAGGAATTCCAAATCAGTAATTATGTGAAATTTTATAGTATCAACTAGTTTAGAATTAATAATATAATATAAGTGAAGAAAAAACATCATAAATGTAACAAATATAGTGTGATTTGTTTGACAAGAAACCTGATATTTCTAATTGCCCTAAACAAGCAAATATATTTTAAACCATCGATCATCTTGAATTTTAATATTTTATAAGAGAAATGAAATATTTTTGATACTTTTTCATATACTATATGTAAAATTTACAAAATACTTTATACATGTACAATTTAACAATACAAGGCACTCTATAATAAAACTAAAAATAACTTCAAATATAAAGTCATGTAATAGATTTTTTACGTTGATTGCTAATAAGAATACCTCCAAGAGATTTTAAGATAATAAGAATTTTAGATAAATACGTCAGCATTTAAATAAACACAAGTACTGTAAAATTACGCTAACAAAATAATTATTACTATTTTAAATAACATCACTTTTAGCTGATATAATAATTGGATTTATGAGTTAGGCAATCTTTTCATTTGAAATTATTTTTCATTATTATAGAAAAACTAATAATGATCTAAAGATAAAAATATATTGTTTTTCATAAAAAAAGTTAATCATTTTATAGATTAAATCCATTGATGTAGAACAAGTATCTGAAAAACTTCAGAAATAAAAATAGCATTGAAGGATTATTTTGTAAATCTTTTACAAATTATTGACAAATATAATTGATAAATATTAATAAAAACTAGTTTTTATTACAAAAGATAAAGATTTTGTTTCTTTAAATATATCTTTTGTGAAATTAAAAATTAATAATTGATAAAGCTTACGAAATTCTGTATATATAAAATTTAATACAATTAAACTGAATTGAATAAAATTCTAAACTTGGAAGCACTGATACCTTTTTAATTAGGTATTTAATAGGTCTCATTCCTCCTCCAATTCCCCATATGTTATCTAATCTCACCAATCCATGTTTTATAGTTAAAAGAGCTTTGGCATGTTCGAGGGATGATCTGTTTAAGAAATTACAATATAATTATTTAATAATAATTTATTTTCGAAATAAAAATATTAAAAAATTCTAAAACAAAAGACTATATAGTTACAAAAATGAAGACTAATACAAAAACATTTTGAATTCTTCCACACGTCCATTCTGGATTCTTAAATTTGTCTTTTTCCAAAATATTTTCATAAAAATTATAATTTTGATTTAGATATATTTTTTACAATATACAAATTAAAGTTGCTATTTTTATTTTTATGTTTTATTTAACGATTAAATGAAATCACAATTATTATAATTTTACCATTTATTACAATTATTTATTTTACAAGTGATTGACATTATTAGTGACTTATGAGATCGAATAAAATTGTAATGTTTTTAAAATAATAATTTCTACTAGTGTAAAACACTAGTAGAAATTATTATTGCAGACACGTCTAACAAGTAAATTATATATTTAGACGAAAGTTAGAAAGAGTTTATAACCTATAATATGATAAGTTTAATCATTAAAGTTACAGGAGGATATGAATATTTTAAAATTAATTTTAAGTTATTAAATTAACACATAACAGCACATAAAAACAAAACAAAAAATTACAATTTTCTATCTATATGCCTTTATATACATATCCTCTGAAAATGCAGAAGAGCTTGAAATTTAATTTATTTAATGAATTTGAGTACACTTAGGGACCTTGGAAAAGTAGCTGGGGATTTTTCACCCGTCTCGAAAAAACTGAGGTGTCGGTAGCGGTTCCTCCCTATAAATTATTTTCACTAATAAAAATAAAGTCTTTAAGACTACTATTTTATTAATAAAGAAACATTCTCCACGTATTTCATTTGTTCAAAATAAGGAAATAAATAAGGGCATAAGGGGCTTGCTCAATCATCGACGACCCTGAGTACACCCTACCTACACTGTTTTAAAGTTTAGGTTAGTGAAGGAGGGAAAAAGATTAAAAATATTTTTACAACAAAATCTAATTCTAATCAAATTGGTAAATTTAAACAATTAAAAGTACAAAAGAATAATTTATAGATAGCTAATTCAATACGAACAAATTCCAAAATTGAGAAAATTGGTCTAAATTGATAAGTTATTGTAATAGTTATATCTTCATATTTCATGTAATATGTCTAAGATATATTGCATTTAATTTAATACAATAAAAAAAATAAATATTATATGTTCTTTTTTTCAATCAATAACGAAAAGTAAATTAAATATATACAGTTTTTTTAGGATAAATAATTTATAAGATAAAAACGAATAGTGATTGGAACTTTAAGGAAACATTTTGTTTGAATTAATAAAATAGAAAGTCTGGTTTATTTAGACTATCAACCTAGATTTTTAATGAGCTTTAGTCATTCCATTTTACAAATACCAATTTGATTTTCTCTATAATACTTATATGTTTTTAAATATTTAAATATTTTAAGAAAAACCTGCAAAAGTATAGTTATTGGCACAGTTGGCATATGCTAAGACAGTGATTCTTATTCTTTTCCCACCTTAAACACCTTATTCTTTTTGCTATTGATTTCCATCTAGCCTACATTTCTCAGTAGGTTAATGTACGTTTAGATAGTATTTTATATTTCATCAAAATTATAAAAAGGTTCTGTTCCTAATTCGTATGACGCTGAAGAGTATTCAATTTCGTCTTCCTTGACCTAGCAAATTGATATAAATACTGATTCTCCTGTAGAATGTCTGGAATAGTATGAGTGTTAAAAACTCATCAAAAATGAAACTTTGTTGCACGTAGAGTAGTGAGTTATAATTCAACATCAAAACTATTTTTCTAGGTATTGCTTGATATTTCGGGACTAAGATCGCAAAGAGGATTCACTAACACAAGTGCAAGCGTTAGTGGCAGCTCAGTTACTCTTCTGTTTCTTTTGAGGAAAGATTTATCTTCTTAAGATTATTTTTTAAAAGGATTTTTTAAAGAAATTCTTAGATGCTTCGGAGTAGGTCGTACTTATTCTGAGGAAAGCCTTTCTCCGTACAAGCGATGATCCATTTTTTACTAATTTTATAGGCAGGTCATTTAAAATTGCATTCAAAGCCTATTCTAATTGTTCTGCTTTATGAGACTTTACTTCCTTTTGGTATTTTAATTTCAATAAAACAAATACAACTTCTGAAATAGAAAAATAGGAAGTGTTAAAGATCTAAACAAACTTCACAATTAGTCTTATTACAATAGAGGTTAATCAAAACAAAAAATAGGCTAGCGTAACTGTACCTAATGCTATGCCTACATGTCCAAGAATTTAGTTTACTGTAAAACTTTTTTTTTTATTGTATTTCGGTTTTAAACACAAAAATATAAATGTATAATGAGATTAAGATTGTTTGGTATGTGTCATTGTGCCATTGGCTTCATGCCAACAACTAGTATTTTAAAACTGTTGTTTACTGTTATAACTGTAAAAAAATGTTATTTTTTAATATATAATTTTACAGGAATTGGCAAAGGGGATGCCAATTATTAACAAAATGCGTTTACTTAGTGCAATAATTGGAAAATCCCATTTTTAGAGGTCCAAATAATTGGACCTCTAAAAATGGAAAGTGCAAAGTAGACTTAGGAAAACAACCATAATTACACGAATTTATGATCGTTTGGGTTAAATATGATGGCGTAGTTATGATCTTAAATCGAAACTAAATATGCATTTTATTATATGAACACTGTATTTAAGAAAAAAATAAGAAAATATTGAACTTCGAATAGTCAATTTACTTGCCTGAATCAGTTGCCTCATATTGTCGCTATGAATAGTTTTCTTTCTTTTTTGTTTTTTAAATATCTCATACTCAGAAAAGAGATGAAGGAAAGATAGACTGTATCTGTGATTTACAGATCTAAGCTCTTTAATATTTTTTCTTATTTTAAGAACGGATATTTTCAGAGTGCCAATCACTCTCTGTTTTACCATATAAGAAGTTCCTTTTTATAAAAAATGATCGAGAAAACTCACCTTGCATGATTATAGTTTATAATGTCTATGAAATCATAAATAAATCTCGGAGGCAAACAATCATCTGCAATGGCTCTAGCAATAAAATTTCCTAATATCTGTGATAAAAATATATTAAATATTATAGTCAAATCACAATTTGAAAAAATTATAAAATTATCTGTGTTGATAAATGTGAATATAATCATAAAGTTTTATTTACGTACTATAGGAGCGTCTGGTGTGTCTAAAATTAAATCTGGCAAGCATAAAAGAAGCTTATAAAAAGCTTCAGAAATATGTTTTTCAAAAATATGTAACCCATATAGATCTGATATTAGAATTGAAATCATTTCACGCTGAGAATGTTTTCTTTCCATTGCAAGAATAACAGCCTTTTGTATGAGTTCGTCTTGCTTGTTTTCCATCTGCATGTCTTCTAATGATAACTATAAAATAAGCAAAAGAACGGTAATAAATATAAGTCTACATTGTGTAAAAATTAATTTGAATTTTGTGTAAAAGTTAGGTCATAAAGTTTATCACAAGAATTTAAGCTAAGTATATTTTTTTTAATTAAGATATTTCTTATGAATACGACAGTTTCAATTCTCAGTTTTATGAATTTGCAGTTAACACTGCTTTTTCTGACGTTCGTATCTTATTGGTTGAAGAAAGTCTGGCATTAGAAACTAATGACAAACTATTTCTGTTAAGATATGTCAAAAATGTTTTATTTATACCTAGTACAGATATGTACTGTATTTGCTATTGTATTAATAAAATACCGTACCTCCAATCCTATTAACGTTTACCATGTAGGAACCTCTATATCTCGAAATCTGTTTATCTCGAATTTTTTCCTCGCTTCCGTGAGTTTCGAGATAGACAGGTTCAACTGTATATATTTAATACTGTATGTCTGGACGTTGTTTGATCAGTTTGGCCAAGTCGAGTCACGTTACATCCAATTTATTTTGAGTTCTATCTTATTCAGATATAGTTTATTTTGAAGAAAATGACATCAAAAATGTTAAAAAATATCTGAATCGAATCGAAATTAATTTCAATTAAAAATTCCAGTAACGATAAGTATAATTGATACTGTACTGTACATTGATTTAAAAAACTATTTAATGTTTTGGGTTAAATACCAGTAATTATATTATCAAGTGAAGCATCTGTTTCGAGAAAAATTGTTTTGAGATATAATTGAGATTAACACTTATCTAAAACTAACAAACAAAAGCTTGTGTTAATAATAATAAATACTGTAGTATGCTCAGTTTCTATGTACAATATAGAAAAAGTAAAATCAAGCTTCATAAGATCGTTTTTTATAACTTTTTTAAACTCCTACCGCATTGTGAGTGCTAAGAGGGCTTTCTTTTGCAAGAGATCATTATGGATTCGGCCAGATCCACAAGTGAGCGAATGGGTGATAAGAAACAGCCTCGATGTAACCGGACGGACTACCCTGAGGTTTTTCGACCTAAGGAATTTTTCAGGGTTCTAATTATTGTTATAACAATAACAATAATAATAATTATTATTGTTATTGTTGTTGTTTTAAGAGAACTCGCGATCATAGTTGATTCCGTTTTTCTCCTCTCTCTTAAGGCTGGTATACACGGTAAGGAAATCCTCAAAGGATGTGCTTAACAGACGAAAAAAAACTCGGATATAACTGGCTGGATCGAACATAGTAAGTTACAAAACTTATTAAAATATCTCCCAACGTATAAAGAATTATTTTTATTTAAAAATGGATAGATAGAAAAAAAATCACGGTTAATCCTCAAAGGATTTCCTTACCGTGTATACCAGCCTTTAGACTGTTTCCTTTACAGGTAAGCGAATAGAATTAAAAACAGAAACAAAAATTATTATTTCAATTGTTTGATTATGTCGAATGTCAATAAACGAAAAAAAAGTTACGTTTTATACTATAATTATTGTATCAAATATATGTACGATTCTATATTAATTTAAACTGTTTCGCATGATATTAATTATGGTTTCAATTAATATCAAGATGATTTTAACCTATGCTATATTTTTCATGATAAAACCATGATGTAATTCGGCAATTGTTTAGAATTAATCTAAAAATCGGATTAATACATGTTTATATTTATAAAACCACGTTGAAATTTCGAGAATCTTTGTGATCTCAACATGGTTTTTAATAAGAATGCACCGATAAGCAAAATGGCCGATTACCGATTAATCGGCCGATTAGTGTTAATAATTTATTGCATTAATAGTGTGAGATCCTGGAGTTAATTATACAGTTAATTATAATGTGGAAAAAAACCCATTTTTCTCCACCTGGTATTTCCATCTCCCTTGGGTCAGGTAAACAAGAGACGATCGAATATCCTCGCAAAATCAACAATCTCTTCCTTTGTTTCTAAAATAAATCTCAACACTTAATTGTTGATGCATGGAAACTTCGACATTGTTTAAAAAGCTGAAGTGTTTCTGTGTTTAACATAAACAAAATATATTTCTTTAACCGCTAGTGAAGATCTTATTGCCGTTTTTTCCCAACTCCGTCTCGTTGAGTTGGCTTCCTGTGTATCACGACTCGATGTAGTGAATCAGGTTCGTTGGAAAGCACACCTCCAAACTCAAATTGAATATATTTACAGTTTATTTACAGTCGTAGAAAGTACAAGTTAGAAAACATAGTATATGTACAGGATGACCATGCGTGGTGACTCACGTGCCAGATTGGGAACTAATAACCTTTGGAGAGACCCCAGTCGGCTAATGGAGTGGCTCAACTGCACGGTCGGCGCGGTCTCTGCACTAACCCGTCCTTGAGATGATTAACAGAGGAAAACACTCTCTCTACGCTCAGCGGGCTTCCCAAGTGCCTGAGACTACTATGTATCAGTCTCTTGCCCCTCCTCTCTCGTTCGACCCGCAATTTAAGGGTTTTTGGAACGGGGACTTCCGACCAATCACAACCCTTTTTTATGCCCGAACAGCTTACACTCGGGTCCGCCGTCATCCGACGAGGGTGAAGCTTACACAAACGTCCGCCACTTGTTTACGTTCGTTTGTTTACAATATGGCAAATGTACTACAGTCTGACTGCAGGTGGGTCCAATTAACAAAGCCGGCGCTTCCTTTGTTTTCCCTTGTTTACAAGTCAATACTTTACAAGTGGTATTACCCGACCGCACATGGGTCCAATTGACAAGGTCGCGCCTCTTTTGTTCCCACTCTGCTAAAAGGTACTTTACACCGCTGACACTGTATTTGGACAGCAACTACAAACAATTCTCCTTTTTTAAGTGTAACAGCCCACTGGTTGAAAGATGATTTTCAGCAGGAAAGAGCTGTTTTGCAAATTGTTTCCTTTGAAGGTTCCAACACAGCTACACGAATCAGTGAACAGTTAAAAATTGTTCTTGAACAGTATAAGTTGGCAAGTGATAAGATATTCTTAGTACTAAGAGATTCTGCAGCAAATCTGGTAGCTGGAATTAGGAATTGCAACTTAGAAGCATTATCATGCTTTATACATACGCTGCAGCTGACACTAAACGAATGCATATTTTCTAAACAAGATGTGAAAACTATAATCACAGTTAATAGAAATATTGTCACACATTTTAATCATTCTGCTGTAGCTGTAATCAAATTAGAAGATTTGCAAGAAAAGTTAGATTTGCAGAAACACAAATTAATTCAAGATGTTCCTACTCGCTGGAATTCTACATACTACATGTTGGAACAAAAGGCCCTTGTCACATATGCTATAGATAATAAAATTCGTACGTTGAGCCCATATCAGTGGTCTCTCGTTGAAAAAATTGTTCTACTTGTAAAACCATTCAAAGAAATTACTGTGGAAAACCAGCAAATGAGAAGCCACTTCATCTTCAATAATTCCCACAATAGAGACCCTGAAATTATTCTTATCAAAAGCAAAGATCAGTAGTTCCTTTAGTGGCATTAATACCATAACAGAAGAACTAGAAAATCCAATAAAAAAATTTTTTCAGCATATATAGAAAACAAGTCTTTATGCTTGTCATTTTTATTAGATTCAAAATGAAATTTCAAAAAGAGGATATGCTAGAGGAAATCTCAATAAGAATTAAATTCTGAAGCTTCTACTTATGGAGGTGGTCAAGATGGAGGCGAATCTCTAAGTTTTTCTGATTTATTTGATGAATTAGCTTCTGGTAAACGAAAGAATGAAGAATAGCATGTTTTTAAAAAGAAAGAAAAAANATTGTTAATACCTACATGTTGAGTACACTAATGGTGTTGTTTTTTATAGTCTTCAAAGTATAGTAGAGTTTAAATAAGACAGTCTATGTCTGAAGCGTGAAGAGGTGAGATTAAATATTCAACCTGGTATCTGAAATAATTAAGTATATAGAGTATGATTCCCGTTCGGAAAAAAATACATACAGAGAAGGAATTTTTTAAAAAATGGTATGTTGTGTCTTACTTGTATATACCAAAGAAATATACTTTTATTTTTATGGTTTTAATTCATATGTCGGGTTATAATATGTATATAATTGGTTTTTATATGTTTTAGTTGACTGAGGAGGGGCAAAAACGGAGCCCGAAACGTGTATAGAAACGCGTCTCAACAAAAGCTGGAATAAATGAATGAGTTATGCCATGTGTTGATTACTGTGCTACATTGCAGTTTTTTAAACAGAAATTTATTACTTTTTATTACTAACATTGTACGTAACATTCTAACAAAAATACCAAAATGTAAAATTGGCAGATTATCGAAACCGATTAATCGGGAAATGGCCGATACCGATTAATCGGCGAAGTGGCCGATACGGCCGATTACCGATTACTTACCGATTAATCGGTGCATCCTTAGAACTTTTTAATTTTGTCGTAAAAAGTATTATGATTCACCAGTGGCCGACAGGATAAAAACCACCGAACATTGGTAACTGAATGTGGGTTCGCATCTCACCAAAAGACTCACGTGAAGTTTTCCGGATTTTTTTCACGTTGGTAACAAGGATCAGTTTTCCATAGAAAGTCCTCCCGGGAGGTATCGCCTCTGGCAGATCACCAATGTTTGTGCTGTTTTATCCCGTCAAGACAAACCAAACCTCTATAATATGTGAATTATGGAAAATAAATAGAAAAAGTAGTGTAAAATTAAACAATTATATACTTACAGCAACTTCTGTTGTATCACCATGTTCAAAATATTCTAATAATATTATAGTGAATTGTTCGTTCGCAACTTCAGTTTTTGATTCATTCTTAGTACGATCAGTTTCTTCCTATTAATAATGACCAAATTTTACTGTGTTAATGTATAAATGTATTTAAAGTTGAGCATAACGTGCAGATTATTACCATTAAATTACAGCAACAATCACAAGTTGTTTTGAATATTGGTTTCATTAAATTCATTTCACAATTCCAAATTTCTTCATTTGTACGGTCTATAAAAAAGAATAATGTTTGCATAATGTTCATTCGATCTTCTCATAATAAATTTCTATAATAAAATATTAAATTTAACATATCTATTATACATTATTTACTTTACTTCGCTGCAAAAGACGAAATTTCGCAAAGAAGTAAAAAGATAGTATGGTTCCAAACATAAATTTATCATACTTGCAATATAGAATTTAAATCATTTAATTTGTGTTTCATTACATATTAAACAATACCAATAATTCAATTTTAAATTATTTCATTACTATACTATCTTAAGAATATTTTGTAAATTAAACGAAATTGTTGTAAAAATTAATACAATATGGAATGCCTTTCATTCAAGGGTGTAGTTATAAGTTAAAAAGTTCGAATCGACTGGCTATGCAGGCGTCACCGTCTATGGAGTTTTGTATGGGCAAAGTGAAATTTTGATGTACAGTACATAGTCTAAAGTCTAATCTAGATGTCCAAAAAATATAAGTCCTTACCCTGCTTAAAAAAATAGCAGAACAGAGTCCTGCTGGCACGACTACAGCTCTACTTTCATTGCATTAAAATTTGAAAAAATTGTAAACCTATAAATTTCCACTGTCGTCTGTCCGCTTGTCTGTCCTTCCTTAATCTCGAGAACGGAGTTTGATGGATAAAAGACGAGACCAGATATAGAAACCTTAGGGCAGGAGGTCCCGATTAACTATATACGAATTTAAGGTACAAACCGAAAGTTAGATTATTTCAATTCAAAAATTTGAATGGAAACAATAGTCATGCCAGTCATCTATCTAACACCCGGAAAGGTATTACGGTAGATCAGTGTTTCTCAACGGGGCGATATCGCCTCCATGTGGACGTTTTTCCATGTTGATGGGGCGATTAGTAACAATTTATATTTTGGGGGCGAAAAACAATTTTCTGGGCGATATAGTAAAACATTATATTAAGAATAATTAGATATTTTATTCGTTATATCGTACAATAATTAAACAAATAACATTATACTAGTCACTAGTCTATTCAATGCAGTACGAATTTGGCGTTAGTCTTGACCCTAGGCATCGGAATTTTGAAGTAAAAGGGGCGTTACTACGTAACGGTTTTATTGAAGGGGGCGATGATTCGTTATAGGTTGAGAAACACTATATTAGATAGATGACCAGCACGACTCTATTGTTAAAGGAGCGAGCCATTACTAATTTGAGGTGGAGAGGATATATTTTAAATAGGCTTACCATAATATTTTTTTCTCAAACCGGGCAATTTTGAGAAAATACTCGCAACAGAAAACAAAGCTTACTAAGATAAGTACAGTATCTATGATTGAAAAGGCTAAATAAAGAAGTTATTAACAAAAAACGAGTTAAAAGCAATTTTTAATAACTCAACTGAACATATATTAAGAAGTTATTAATTGTACCTTTAAAATACGACAATATATTTGAGGAAGTTCCTTTCCGCCCCTACTAGGCTTACCTTTTGTTTCGCACATTTCAAGTGATTTTTAATGTCCGAACGCCTACCACGAGTTACTGAAAATTCTAAAAGAACAGTTCACATTTCAATTTGTCAATATGACCCCAAACATTTTTCATAAACAGATAATCCTTTTTTAATTCATCGTTAAACACAAGGTTTCTTTTTGGCATTTTGGAGATTAAATTAATTTAATTAATGTACAGTACAAAATAACCGCAAATGCCGACTAGCAATTCGACCTCGACTAAGATATAACATGCTTAACAATGATGTGTAAATGTCAGTTTCAGTGTTGCCAACGCTAATTGAAACAAAATATCTAAAATATGAAATAAAAATATCTGGATCTAATAGGCTACTACATGCTATTATAAATTCTGTAAAATATATCTCGATAAAAAAATAAATTATCTAAGTTCATTAGGACACATACTATAGATTTTGGAGGAAAACATCTAGACAACATTAAAACTACTTAGATCTAGATACAAAATTTTTAGAATTGCAACAGCGAGTGTAACAGAGGAGACATTTTACTTGTCAAATCGCTATTTTACTCGAAGCCTGCACTGTTTTTACTTCTTGTATATTCGACACTTTTACCAAATAACCGAGACAAAATGACACACTGGCCGGGACACGGACACCATCAAACCGAGACAGTCCCGGTCAAAGCGGGACGTCTGGTAAGCTTAATTTTAAATGAAATAAATTAAAAATATGATTAAAAATTGCATCCCGGCATTGTGACAATGTCACAATAAATAATCGCTCGTTAACTTTAACTTTTTAAAAATATTTTTGAACTTTAAGTTACTTTTATTCATTTTAATTAATATACACTAGAATCTTGGCAAACTAGCCATTTCTTTCACACAANTTCGAATTTTAGAGCTTGATTACATTATTTTATATTAACCATACTTTATCAAAAATTAGACTTTTATTACTATTTAATTACTAAAACAAATATAATTTTAATAATCATAATATTAATTTATCTTACTTAATAGTTCTCAAATTTACAAACTTTATGATATCTTAAAGCTTAACTATACTTAATTATTATAATTATAATTATAAAAATTTAAATTTTTTGAACAGAATTACACTTGAATTATATTTTCATTACTCTTTTAATTCGACATTTAAGAATTAAAAGAAATTAAATATTAAATAAATTACGAAATTAAAACATTAAAAAATAATTACTTTTTATAAAACAAAATAAGCCAAATTATTCTAATAAAAATCGAATCGTTTGTCTAAAATTTACATTTTAATTAATTAAGCCTAATGTAACCGAACTATTCGGTTTCGATTTAAGCCAAATTTTAAATAGGCATTAATTAAAATCTTACTTTCTACACGAATTTTCGAATTCATTTTGAATGCTTGCTTAATTTATTTGAAATATGAAGAGAATAGTTGAATAAAATAAGTGAAGTTTATCCTTTCTACAGCGAAAAAATACGAAAATCAAATCAAATAAATCAATCTTCCGATGCGTTCGATTGATACGAATTTATTTTTCAAATTTTTAAGTTAATTTTAAAATAATAAATTTAAATAAAAGCGATTTTTTTTCTTAATATCAATTTAATTAATTAACCGTATTAAATAGAATTATTCGAGGATGATTGATTTTTTATTTTCTTTTTTATTCTAACTGCCCTGTAAGGAAGGCCCTTTAATGCCTAACGTAGATTCATAATGACAAGCGGTCTGTTAGCGATGGCCGACATATACGGGTCAACTCATCCTTGAAAAGTTTCAAGTCGATAGGAATTCGAACCCGAATCCTTCAGAGCGGCACGCTAGCACGCATCTAGGGTATAATTGACGGCAGTCGTGACTCTACCATTGATTATTTTATTAGTAAACGCACGATTCAACCCTTTAAATACTACATAGTCTGTCACTACAATACTTATTACGAGCTGGACTATGGGCTTGTTACATGCTGGTCTACCTCAATGGAGTAGGCCAGTATGGTTGAGGAATTGAATGATGCTGGTGATGGATTGCATAAAACTTGATTTGAATGTGTTAAACTTTGAAAAAAATTAATTTTAATTAAAACATTTTTTTCTTTCTAAGTTAACAATGCTTCTGTCATGTAATGATAAAAACCCAGCAACGAGTTGCATAACTTTCCCAACTATTATGAGATCTTATTTAGAAAATAACTTTTATAGTTTTAATTACAATACTGTATAATGTAATAAAATTGTGCATGGCGCCATCTCTTATGAGATTTTGTTATAAAATATTTCTTTATTTTTTATTTAATATAAAACGCCAAAAAGCTTAATTTGGAGGGTAGAGATGAGTTTTATAAGAAAGTATAAATGTTAATAACGAGTAAAATTGTCATTAAGTTGATTTAACTGGAGATACACACGATCCCTTTTATCTTCCCACCCCCTCGACCTTTCACCACCAAATATTAATAGAATCAATGCCCCTCCTGTTTCGCTTAATATCTCAGGATAGGGTAAAGAGATATTAAGCGAAATAGACACCAACACACACAGATACATCATATCCACTGAATTTTTGCTGTTTTTTGTACTTTTTTTGGATTCAGGAGTTCTCAAAACGTGGTGATTTGCAAAAAACTCGAAAGGTGAAATTTGATACGATTCCAATGCTTTCCCTTATTATGTATACATAACAGCCGGGAAAGTAAAATGAGAATTTCAACAGTTATTGATTGTAATGATAATATTTACAATACATTGTTTCTTGCATCACATGATGTTTTTTGCACAAACAATTTTTTGCATTTCCACGATAAAAAAAGTATTAATTGCTGATTATTCCTTATCTCTTACTATTTTAGATAATAACATAGTGTTAGCATTTTACATATTTTAATCATTTTTCTTAAATAGAAGTAATTTTGCTTGTAATTTCTTATTTAGTTTTTATTTAAATGTTTCATACGCTTATGTTCTCTCTTCATTTTTGACTAAAATCCTTTATTTTGCAGAGAATTGTAATGAATATTCGTAAAGCTTCTGTTTCCAATAATATATGTCAAGCCTCAATTTTTGTCTGATTTATGAGAAAAAGTAATTAAGCAAAATTTACAAGAATAAATGAAACTCGTGAATAAATTACTATATAAATAACTGTAATTTTACAGTAAAAACAAAACTGGATCCGAACATTCTAAAATATCACATGGGTCAGATCAGATTCGTACCTTGAAGTTTCATGGAATTAGAATGAACCCTTATCAATATATCCAGTTCAGCGACATTTGCTGGAAAAAACAATGGCCTGTAATATTGAATTTGAATAGGAGAAAGCGATAATTATTTAGTTAGTTATCTGTAGAAATCTTATACTATATTTATTAAATTATACTATAGATTATTCAATTTAATTCATATACAAATACAGGCTATATATTTTAGTGTTTCATATTTTTAAATAGCACGATATAGCTAATTTTTAAAAATATTTTCTATTCAGAATGAATGGCCTACATATCATGAATGTAAACACGTAAATAAATATATCGCGAGTAAATTTGAAAATATTTAAGTATTGAACTATATTAAATAAACAGTTTTATGTTTTAATTTAATTATTGATAACAACATTTAAAAATGTTTAAAAATAGTTTCATTTCACTGTGAAATTGGCGACTGTAGTCATCAATGCAATTAACAAATACTCTAAGGTCCAAAATTTCCTGTGATTGTAGCGAAAATTTATAGCCACGTTCGTTGACCAGAACACGACACAATTAAAGACATCACGTGGTTATAAAGTTCGTGGAATTCACATCATAGCAACATTAATGAAATCAATACAAACGTCCGTAATTTCATACAAAAATAAAAAATGTCCTTTTGTTTTCTATTCAGAGCAATTGCGAAAAATAGGTCACTTTTGAATTATTGATTATAGATTTAGTTTTCCAGAATCATAATTTAACAATGATTAAAACATTCTTTTACAGTATAAAAATTTGTCAGTAAAATTAATAAATAAAGTATTCATTTTTAATAAAAGGCCAAAACTAAGTTATTTTTACAAATTTTCTATTCATAGTTGGAAATTATATTTTATTTACAAAACTGGCAAAGAATACCACGGAAAATTTTAAATTTTTCTTCATATTTTTGCATTTGTATTTTATCTTCATCTATCAATTTTGTTTCTAAATTTCTTGTGACTATAAAGTATACATTTTATGAATGTATTTAAAATCCACAATAATAATTACGCGAACTTTATGTTCCCTATTACGGACAGTATTCTACAATGACTGTAATAGTTTATTTGAGTTCCGTTTCAAAAGTTTTAATAAAAATTCAATGTTAGTTTCATAAAACTTATCATTCAATATTTTTCACTTTTGACTCTTCCCGCTCTGTGGGTACAAAGAGGGTCTTTCTAATCATAACCATCGTAGAATTTGGTCAGGCCAATAATATGGGCAATCGGGTGCGAGGAACGGGACCAAATCTATCCGGGACATACGGCCCATGAATAACTCTTGGGTTGCACTCCAAGATTCGATCCCGGTATCTTCAGAACGTCTTAACCGTCTCGGTCATCCACTTACAGCTGAATAAATCTAAGGGCGAAAAGAAGCAAGAGAGCGGAAGAAGCGCTGGAGTCAGGATCTCAATCGAACGGTAACCATAAGTGAGGATTCGGATACTGACAGCCTTTCCCTTTCCTCCGTTAAGAAGAAATACTGTCCGAAGAAAAAGGTTGCCAGATGTGGACACAGATTAAACAAAGTTACTTTGTATCAAAGTGTAAGGCTTTTATAAGAATATTTCCAAGCCTCTCTCATACAAGGGAAAACGAGTTGGGGGCGTTGGGTACAGTATATAAGTTTATGGAACCATGGGGACGGTGGCTCCAAAAAGATTGCGAATCACTGGTTTACAACATCTAATAAGAAAATATCGTGTACGCGTGTTATCATCTATAAAATATTTCACTTAAAATATAGTTCAAATGTTTACATATAAAATATAATAAATGCATAAATGCATACTGCGTATAAAAGAAAATTTTAAGAAAAATTGCAAGTTTTATTTTATTTATCGTACAAATTTATATTTTATATGCCGTAATTAATTCGTTTGTGTTAATATGTTTGAAATAAATAATATGTGTGTACTGCGGGGATTTCTCGATAAGACAACATGCATCTCTCAAATAGCTTGCGTATACATACGGGAGACAGAGAACGTTTTTAAAATAAATATGTTTAATTTTAAATTGAAACTGAATCCTTTCATTTTTCATAATTCCAAACAGTATACTGGTGTTGACTTTTTTATTTTTGGACATTTTTACAGCAAATGTTGATCTTGAACATCAAACCTGTATTAGGCTAATTTTCTTTAGATTTTCTGAAAATATATATATTTGTAAATACTAGAAATATAGATTCACTTCCGATTTTTCTTCGTTAATTCATAGATCAACGACACAAAATTGTGAAGATGTTTATCTCCCTCTTCAATCAATTTGACTGTAAAAGAATATCAAAGACATCCGCAAAGGACAGAATATTAATCTGCTTAATTATCTTTTAGAAATTTTTCTTGATGATAATGGATGTCAGATTGTAGAAAACTTATCTGGTAAACCACTTAATTAACGGAGATTATTATCAATCTATAGTTTATTTACCGTGCTCTGAAATGTAACTAAAATACATCGAATGGGCGTTGGAAATGCCCATTCCGTGTATTTTATATTCCGTATATTGGAAATGCCGATCGATCCTATATTACAACTCAAAAATATATTTTATTATAAATGTAAACATTTGTTAAAAAATTAAAAAATGCCTTTTGAATATAATGCTTTAGTCCTTATTATCTAAACCTTACCATCAAGGTGTTTTAAGGCATTATTAGGTCTAGACCTTTTCTACCTTACACTTAGACTTCTTAGACTGAATTTTACGATGTTTTTTTAAATTTAATGAGTATTTTAAAATTATAGTAAAAGAAGTCAGAAGTAGACAAAAACACCAATGAATTGTACTGTATAAAACTTGTATTTCATGCATTTAGCATTTAATTTTATGCTATGATCTAAAATTCTATATTATATAAAAAAGTTCTACTAAAAAAATATTAAATATATAGTGATGAAAACTGCATAACTCAGAAACTTTTTTTTAGGTTTAATGATAGTTCAATATTAAATAATTATAAGATGCCGATTACAAGGTTGGCTAAAAGTCGGTATAAGCTTTAAACATTCATAAACAATTGAAGAATTATCGGAATGAAATGTGGTTTGTATGGTAAGGATTGTCAGCATGGGGTTTTTGTTGACAGGCTTTAGAAATCATAGATAGGAAAGATAGCTTTAGATGTCAACACTACTAACAGGTAGTTTTAAGATACGAAAAACAACGAATGGACGTGCATACGATAATGATAATGAAAATGACTTTGTGATTTCTGATTGTGGGAATATTTAAATTCCCGAATGTTTCGATCAGGTCCCTCCGCATTGT